CTTTAATGTAGATTAGAGATTAGTGAGACTACTTACCACCAGATGTGGACAAGAGGTTGATGGTGGGCTCAGGCTGCAATCTGGCTCCACTGGTCAGGTCTAGAACAGGCTCTCTGGAGTCTGTTTGTTACTCTGCTCACAAAAATCAACAAACAGGAAGCAGCTCCATTTTTTGAGGCCCCTTACACAGCTCAAGGTCTCCCTCCTCCCCACCCCCCATCCAGTCTACCATGGCAATGGTCTCTGCTGAAACTTTGGTAAAGTTGGCATTTGGACCTCTTTGAACACGTTTGTGTGGCAGGGCCGTCTTTAACGCGGGGCAAACGGGGCAGCTGCCCCGGGCCCAGTTGCTCCTGGGGGCCCAGAGCAGCTGCTCTGTGGGCCCCGCGATTTGCGCAGCCCCTATGGACCGGGAGGCTCCCCGGGTGGCCCATGCACTAAGGGCCACCCGGGGAGCATGTGTCAGCAGGGGCCCGGTCGGGCGCTGTGGCACTTAAACAGCGCGACCGGGCCCCTCTTCCGGTTCTGCAACCGGCTGGGAGGAAGTGATGTCACTGTGACGTCACTTCCTCCCACCGGAGATAGCCGCGTGGGAGGAGGAAGGCAGGGAGGAGGGGAGTTCCAGAGGAGAACTCCCATCTGCCTCAGCCTGCCACTGGACCAGGGAAACCACCCTCCAGGAAAAGGTAAGAACCTGGAGGGTGGCTAAATGTATGTCAGTATGTCTGTGTGTGTGTGTCAGTATGTCTGTGTGTGTGTGTGTGTGTACGTGTGTGTCAGTATGTCTGCCAGGATATATTTGTGTGTCAGTATGTATCTGTGAATGTTTTAATGTATGTCTGTGTGTAGGTGCCAGTACGTCTGTCTGTGTGTATGTCAGTATCTCTGTGTGTGTGTGTCAGCATGTCTTTGTGTGTCAGTATGTCTGTGTGTGTATGTAAGTATGTCTGTGTGTGTGTGTATGTGTGTGTCAGTCAGTATGTCTGTCAGTGTATGTGTGTGTCAGTGTATGTCTGTCTGTGTGTGTATGTATGTCTGTGTGTGTGTGTGTGTCAGTATGTCTGCCAGGATATATTTGTATGTCAGTGTATGTGTGTGTCAGTATATATCTGTGAATGTTTTAATGTCTGTCTGTATCAGCCATTACTGTCTGTATGCCATTACGTCTGTCTGTGTATATGTCAGTATGCCTGTGTGTGTGTGTCAGTGTGTGTCAATGTGTCTGTCAGTGTATGTGTCTGTGTGTTTTAGTATATCTGTCAGTGTATGTGTTTGTGTGTGTGTCAGTATATCTGTTAATGTATGTGTCTGTGTATGTATGTATGTATGTCTGTGTGTGTGTCAGTATGTCTGCCAGTATATACACACAGTACACACAGTATATATTTGTGTGTAGTGACTGTGTGTGTCAGTATGTATCTGTGAATGTTTTAACGTCTGTCTGTGTGTGTATGTGCCAGTACGTCTGTCAGTGTGATTGCGGGTTGGACGTAATTGGGGGGTGAGGCAGTGGCAGGGACAGGGCCCATGGGGCCCAAGAAAATGCATTGCCCAGGGTCCTAATCATATTATAGACGGCCCTGTTGTGTGGCATTACATACGGGACGTTAAAGCAGTCAATGAGGCGCAATTTGGACGTCAAGTCCTTAACTCAGTTCAATCTTCTAAACTATGTTGAATTGTTCTGATTATTTGATTGGCAGTTATTTACGTTTCTGTCCCTCCCTTTGAAGCTTGGGTATTCCCCATGTGTATATGCTGCCATGATTAGCCAGGAAAGTTGAAAATTTTTTCATACTTACGATAATTTTCTTTTCATGGCAGCATATATTACCCACCCATCAATGTCTCTATTTATCTACTGTAGAGCTTGTTACTGACTGAGGACCTAAGGAATTGAGCCTCCTTTTAAAGCCTTTGGTGTTTTTCCTGTCCTATCGGCTGTAAGGGGCGGAGATAACCCATGTGTCTATGCTGCCATGAATAATAGCCAGGAAAAGAAAATTACGGTAAGTATGAATACATTTTTCACTATAATAGCTATCTTAACCTCTCCTCTCCCCTCCCCAGGTATCTCACTCTAGTTATTTCTCTCTCGATCCCTCCTGCCATGGCATGGCTGAGCTGTCATCGTTTAGCACAAACACTACACAACTAGCGCCATTGCTGTGAATGGAGGGGACGAGGACACAACTATACTTGCTATTCTCTCACTATACAGCCCAATGTTACACAGGGCTTGACTATAAAACCATAACTTTTACTCTCTGAGGAATTTGCATAATCTGCAAATATCCCAGAAACTGACATTTGGGGGTCCAAATGTCAGTGGGCAGGCAAAGGTTAATTTTACTTACGTTAACCTGTCCCTCACAGGCACCGCCATCATTTTTCTGCTGGCCCACTTCTGTTTCTAGCACTTCAGCTGCCAGGAGCCAAAGCCACTGCTGTAGTCTTGCGCATGCATGAGATTATAGCAGTGAGTTCGAAACTCCATAGATAGAGTTTATTTCCCTGCAGCCGTCATTGGGGTATTGACAAGGCGATAGCTCTGCCTAGTGTTGAGCAGTGTCAGGCGTAGGAAAAATTTCTAAAAAAGTAGATGATACTGCTGCTTTAAGGCTGATAAGAAAGGCAGAGCTCTGCACGAAGCAATCATAGCTCAGTCACGCTAAAGGGGATCCCATAGGTCGCCTGAGGGAATGGAGGTGGACAGCCTATCGCTGGTAATGCAGCAGGTCCCCTGCAAACACAGAGGTTGCACAACCCTAAAGCTGACGCTGTGTATTATACCCTCTTCATCATGGACTATTTTGTAATGCATGCATATAACATAATATCACATTATCACTTGGCTTACCCTTGCATTGTAGCTATTCTTCATCTGCCAGAAGCCACTCTCATGATTGCACTCTCAAGCAAGTGAGAGACTACAAAATAGGATCCATGGAGAATACCACAATACTGATGAATCTTTCATACATAATTTTGCAATATATGGTGCCATTTTGTCTCATGTAATTGATAGCATTTCGCATTAGAAGCCATTTCCACTGCCATTTCCCATCAGCCATCACGACCGACTGCCTTATTCCAAAACCTGCCAATGATTGGCAATAGCATGTTGGAAAGTAGTCTCTACTTTGTTTCCTGTATATCTTTTGACTTCTAATATTTGTAAGAGATTTGACGCATTGAAAAATCTTTTATTGTTTTTTTTTAATGTTATCTTTATGAAAAGCTCAAAAGTGACAGAGCTGCTTTAATGATGATCTTGGCAGCCATGGGGGAGCTGTGATTAGGGCAGGGGAGGTAAATCCTTGGGCCAGCACAAGAGAATTTGTATTTGTATGCTTTAAATAAATGTATCTACAGATGATGAACACTTTGCCCTTCTGTCTGATCAAAGGCTAAAGCATACTCCTTATCTAGAGCCTGGCTGCCTTCCTAACACCAGTTTAAAATTCTAAATGCACTAAATTTGTTTAAGCCTTTAGAATGTGTAAAATATTAATCCTGGCAGGGTCGAATTCAATCTCCATTGTTATATTATCATATGGCTTCAAGAACAAATGGAAGTAAATCTATGAAGCAGGTTTTCATCTCCCTCGGAAATACTTCCTAGCAGAGGCAAAAAATAATCTACAAGCAGAACATCAACTATTCATTTGTCCTTGGAAACAAATATACTGAATGGTATTCAGGTTCACCAGATAACGGAGATGTCAAGTGATATGTCAGTTTAGCACTTTTGGTATTTAAAGGGACAGTCATACCTTCTAGAACAAGATGCAAACGTTTTATTCTGTAAGCAGAATGTCACCCGATGGGGGTGTCTAATGCACAAGCGCAGAGCATGAGAACGTGCAGCGTCAGGCAACCAAACGTTGGTTAGCCACCAGTAAGTGCCTCTAGTGGCTGTCTAATTGACAGCCACTAGAGGCAGTCTTAGTCCTGAAATGTAATTATTGCAGTCTCTCATTTAAGTTTTTCAGCAATTTGAACTACAGTAGCTCTTCTGTGTGATCGGACAGGGCGGGCTAGGCTTCACTTCTCACGTGTTTCAAATGGCATTGGGTGCCCGTAATCCTGATGGCGGTTCTCTGGTTATCCTTCCTTGCACCACATTTGGTAGGTACTAACCACTGCAAACTAGGAACACCCAACAAGATTTGCCATTTTAGAGATGCTCTGACTCAGTCATCACTATTTGGTCCTTGTCAAAGTCACTCAGATCTTTTAAGTGTTTGCCCATTCTTCCTGCACATTCAATTTAAGAACTGACTGTTCACATGCTGTCTAATACCTCCCACCCCTTGACAGGTGCCATTGTAACAATATAATCAATGTTATTCACTTCACCTGTCAGTGGTTTTAGTGTTGTAACTGATCAGTGAATACTCACAAACACCGGTTAAAATTTCAAAGTCGTATGTTACTAGCCAGGCCTTAAAGTTACTTGCCACTGCAAGCCTGGAGGATCCATGGCATACTCACCAGAGGGTGAGTTTCTATTCTTCAAGGCTCGATTTTCATTAGCCAATGGTAAGTGGCAATTTTGAGCTCTGTGTGTTTTTATAAATATATATACACATATATATGTGTGTTTATTTATTGTAAAGATGCATGAGTCTGAAATGTAATAAATTGAGCCTGTGAGCAGAATGAATTTTAAGAATGGCGATAAACTTGTCAAACCTACCAATAGGAAGGGCACCGAGGGGGATAGCAGTCAACCGACAAGCTGGGAAAGTAGCAGAACTGGAGGTGAGCAGAGTGTGTCCCTTTAAGAGAGAGCAAGAGATAGGTTTGTGACATAAGTTACTCTGGGAGGCCATAAGCACTTATGGGTCTCTCTAAATATTAAGAAAGGTAATTCCAGTAAAATTTAAATATTGTTTTCTTCAGTAAATATTATTCCACTGTCCTCTAATTCAAGAGATATTGATTCTAACATGCTAAAAATAAATACATCTTATAATAACTAATACTCTATTTTCCTGGGAACCCATTACAAGGAATGGGGTTAAAAAGCTGAATGCAGCATCTGTGGATATTGCAGCCATTCTACTAATGGGCTGTAGGCATAAGGAAATTAATGAGCATGTTTTGTGCATAACAGCTGTGCACTTATGATATATTTCAATCAAAGAGCTTTTTTTTTTTTTTTCTTTTATCAGGTAAGCCAGATGCAAGATGGAGCCCAGATGTAAATTGTGCCAATGCATCAATCGTTTTCTAATTACAAAGGATAATGTTTTCCGGATATTTCAGGAACTTGCAAAGTTGGTGCAAAGTTTTGATGACTTTGAAGTGTGTATTTGTCATGCTCAACTTCAAATTGAATTGAACGTTCCTAAAATGGCTTCTGAAGACCACCACAATGTAACTCAAGGAAGCTAGCTTCTTTCCTTTACAGTCTACATGTGTTTAAGTTACCACATAAAAAGTAAGCCCTCATAATTGCCTAATCACCCCCTCCCCCCCCCTCCACTCCTTCCCCTCCCCCACATGGCACACTGTTTAGTTATGTATTTCTTCTGGCCTCAATTGCCTGGTTTGATTTTTACCAGACACAATTTAGTAAGGAAACACTTGCAGGGTTGTTTACCAAAGTGACAATTGCAGAGAATTCAAAGTGAATTTAAAAATAGCCAAATTAGAGAAAATGCCCTAGTCAATTCTGTTTTCAGTTTGCCTATTTTGACCTTTAATTTTAAATTCATGTTTTATTTCACTTTGAATTCCCAGCAATTTCCACTGTGTGAATAACCCTGAGTGTGTGTCTAAGACCACAGAGAATTTCTGAGATGGGCCTCCGCTTTTCATCAGGGTTGCACCCAGGGGGCTGTCCTGGATGGGGGTAATGTCACGATGCATGTCCCTGTGCAATCACATAAATGATGTCTCCTGTGTGTTCTGATGCACTCTCACTCTCACCCTGTCGTGGTTCATGTTACCTGAGAGTGTGTTTATACTGTGTATTGGATTGGTTTTCTGACATCAGCTTGTTTGACTGTTCTTGATCTCTGTTACCCTAGACCACGACCTGTTTCTCGTTTTTTTCTCTGTCTGTTTGCAGACGTTTCATTTATCTGTCTCAGGCAATAGTCCGGCCACTCTAAGGACCGGTACGAGTTTACGGTTTCCTTTAGTTTTGCGTGTTGCGGTATCTCCATTCCTCACAGCTAGCTAGTGGTTACAGTGTGTAAAGGCTGACTCCATAGGACTGTCCCAACATAAATTTCACAGATTAAAGCCATTTACTAAATACATACATTTGTGTTACCAACATACTGTAAAAGACTAATAAAAAAATTAAGTAGATTATTGTTAGTAAAGCCAAAGTATGTTCCCCTGGGTTTCAGGGAGAGATTAATGTATTAACACAATCCACATTGTCCCCTGGAAATAAATGGCCTAGATTTTCTCACAAAAAATGATATCCTTTGCATTCTGAGTTTCCGCTGCCAGACATGAATCTTTGTGATATGTGACAGCGAGCTCCTTTGATCAAGTAGGTGACGGTTTACTGGGCAATTTCAGAACAGAGACTTAACAGATATATCCATCAGCTCTTATAACATATTAAACCATGCCATGTATTTATTCACATAATCAACATGACCTGATAATTTAGCATTCTTTGTGTTTTATTCATCAAGGTTCCAGTAATCTTGTATACTACATGGTTAAATGGTTATGGTAACCTCCTATGTGAATAAAAAAGGCCTTTACTGATGGAGCTTGGTAATGCTTGCCACTGGTTTATGCGGATTACAGACACTGCAGATAGCAAGTGCCTGAATGAGAGATTATAGCCAAGCAATCTCCTTCTATTAATATGCAGTACCCCTGCCCAACGCTTCCTAGGTGGTCCTCTGGGATAATGGTCAGTTAAGGATACATCTACGTGGTTCTCTTCCGAATTTCTCATGCTTATATAGGTAAGCCACGGGGTGGGATACTGTAAGACAGAACATGACTTGTTTAGCCACTCTCACATGCATTGATCTAACTAGATGTGCATGAATGTTATAAATATAGGGATTGTGGCTAATAACTCCCAGTTTGGAGAAAACATCTGGAGTTTGTGAGTGCGCAAGTTTACAAACACTATACTCACTTTCTCTTTATATATATTTTTATATGTTTACACACATAATTTCACACAATCACTACCTACACACATCACATATCTCTGAGGGCAATAAAAAATATCAAGGATGGTGGTAGGAAATAGATTTCTTCAGGGCCTATAAATATTTTCCTGAATACAAGAAAAAAAAAAAACTGACATTAACGCCATCCTGAAATGTTTAATTGAAATAAATTAATTATTCTTAATCATTAAAGGCTATGCTTTTTATGCATGTATGTTTTGCTGTTCCCATAATTCTGCTGGAAATGCAAGTTGTGGATATTAACCGGAGACAGCTTGAAGTGTGGGTTGGCACTTTTTTCTAATATCTCATTTGTGTTTTATTACAAAGGTTCATGGGAGTTTTATATCACTAACCGCTAAAAGTCAGCTGTTTGGACAAGCTTGAGCTTTTACTGATTGCTAATCTTTATAAACTATTTGAAATTAATTAAGAGGGACATCCCCAGCTCCAGTGGTGAACTTATGGACAAAAATGGGAGGAAAGATAATAAATTCAAGTGCATCAGATCCATGGAATAACATAAAATATGGAGTTAGCTCTCCCAGCAGTGAATGTTATTCATAGTGTTATAACTGTATTATAGTCAACTATGATACATCAACCTTTGTTGGACTACTACTTAATTATCTTCCCTTCATCTGTTCTGAACTACAACCATATTGCATATGTGTCTTATAGATTCTACCACAGAAAGTCTTCCGCAATGCAAATGACTCAATCCCTGAATGTTAGGCACGGAAACACACAACTCTCTAGGCATTGTTAAATTGTAAAATACATGTTTATGTACTGAATCGACTCAGTGGAAGTTTGCATGTCTAGGCTAAGGTCATACAGGGTTATTCACATATAATACATACCGCGAGTAGGGGCATGCAGGAGGATTTAACCTCCCTTTTATTAATATGGGGGTCATAGTGACCCCCATAGGTTTTAATATGGGGAAGGGGGTTAGGAATTAATGTTATTACAAGGAGGGAGCCAACATAGGGAGCCAACCTATATATACTCTCTCTCTTTTTTGTGCGCTTGTTACATCACTAAATTTGTATTTGTATTGGTATTTGGTCAAAGTACATGACTTTAAGTTAATTCTGGTCATGTTAAAGTCACTGGCGGATCCAGGGGGGGGCAACGGGGCAATTGCCCCCCTCGAGAAATCCACCGGTCTCCCTCCCCTGCCAGCACATGCAGGCGCTAGCCCTGCAATGTGCCTGTGGACCGGAGGGGAGATCAGAGATCAGTCTGCAGCTCCTCCGGGTCCTCCTCTCGCGAGATTTGGAGCGTTGCCGCGGTTACCACGGCAACGCTCCAAATCTCGCGAGAGTGAACTCTAGCCCGGGAGCGCGGGCTAGAGTTCACTGTAACCACTGGGACCACCAGGGAATCACCACTGGGACCACCAGGGATGAAAATATGTCCCCCCTCCTCCTCAATAAAGGTAAGAAGGGAGGGGGGACATAGAATATTTGTTTTTTTTAATTAAATAAATAAAGATACATATTATAAAAAAAAAAGCCCCCCCCTACCCTTAACACACACACATAGCCCCCATACTGCCCCCCCATACACATACTACCCCTCATACTGCCCCCCATACACATACCCCCCATACACACACACTGCCCCCCCATACACACACCTGCCCACATACACACACACTGCCATACACATACTCACCCCCCATACACACATACTGCCCCCCCATACACATACTACCCCCATACTGCCCCCCATACACATACTGCCCCCATAGCCACACACATACTGCCCCATGCACATACTACCCCCCATACTGCCCCCCCATACACACACATGCTGCCCCCCCATGCTGCCCCCCCATACACACATGCTGCCCCCCATGCACACTCTGCCCCATACACATGCTGCCCCCATACACATACTGCCCCCAACACACACATACTGCCTCATGCACACATGCTGCCACCCATGCTGCCCCATGCTGCCCCATACATGCCCCCCATACACTGCCCCCATACACACATACTGCCCCCCATACACACATACTGCCCATACACACACATACTGCCCCCATACACATACTGCCCCCCACATACTGCCCCCCATACACACACATTGCCCACATTCACACACACACTGCAACTGTTACACACACATGCTGTCCCACACATACACTGCATCCCTGACATACACTGCCCCGCCTACTCACACACTACAACCTTCACACACACACACACACTGCTCACACACTGTCCCCCTCACACACACACTGCACCCCTTACACATTGCACCACTCACACACACCACTGCTCCTATGCCCTACTACCGCCCCATTTCCCAGCAGACCTCAGGTAAGTTGTCAAACTGTTCTTAAACGGTTTGACTACTTACTCCAGGAGGGGGTCCCGGCACTATTGACACCATAACCACTACACTGAGCTGTAGTAGTTATTGTGTCTGGATTATTTCTTTAAATAATCTACAAGTGCCCCTCCCGAGATCAGGCTCTGGATCCGCCACTGGTTAAAGTAGCAATGTCACTTATTAGATCCCTTGGCAACGAGCTGACGGATCCCACCCTCTCGCTACCCCACCCCATGCCGACCTCCTCCAAACATTTTTGAGCTACGGAACAAAGTAGCCTTTCGATTTGCAGATGCTGACATTACAGGCTGGTGGGGTGCCCACGAATAAAAAAATGTCTATATGGCTCTATTACATCCAAAATACGTGGATGATCAAATATACAGGGAATAAACCATATAGACATTTTCCTATTATTGTCCATTTTGAGGGTAAATTAATAAATGTAATTGTAATACAGAATTTATCCACAAGATGTCGCCAAAAGGATTACTTTGAATAAAATTCTGTATGTAAAATGCTAGATAGAAGTTTTCTAGCACAAGAAAATTGATATTTAAGATTGAGTTATAAAATATTTTCCTGAGGAGATTCCTCAGGAAAAATTATCAAACAAAAAATAAATCAAATCAAACAAACAGTACATTAAATAAATGAAAAGCCTGTCTTGTGGTCAGGCTGCTTTAATTATTATTATTGGTATTTATATAGCGCCAGCTTATTCC